AAATGTACACTTCCATTTAACTTTTTAGTTCATATATAGCAGGAGGTTAAAAATTATATTCCCTTTCCTCTCTGTGGCTATTGTTAATGTTTTTATTGTTTAACTTTCCCATAATAGTTTTTGATGAGCATGTACGACGTGGGAAAATTGGAGGTGGCAATACTCGTGAGATGGATTTTGAAAGTTTTCTTGACTTTGTTTTGGCTCTTGAAAACAAAGATACTCCTGAGGGATTAACATATCTGTTCCGATGTCTCGATCTGAATGTGAGAGGTTTCCTAACCACAGCTGATATTCACACGCTATTCAGGTAAAAAGACAGTAATATACGAATCTATTTGGAATTTATAATTCATTCAGGTTGAAGTATTTTTCTTTTACACTATACATATATATATATATATATATATATATATATATATATATATATATAGGGTCAGTTTCCCGTGTGGACAGTGCTTCCCGTGTGGTCACTCACCATTAAGTACGCATAAATGCACCACAAAGTGTTCGAGAATGCACCATTAGGTGGTGTATTTTTTTGGTGTGTGGTGCGTTTTGTGGTGCATTGATGCATTTCATTGTGGTGCTTTTTCGAACACTGTGTGGTGCATTTATGCATACTTGATCGTGAATCTGCACCGGCCGCACATGAAGCACTCTCCGCATTTGAACCAGTATATATATATATATATATATATAGATCAGTTTTATTTGTCTCTGGCATTTATTGATGCCAGGGAAAATACAATAACCAAATATGGAACTCACCCACAACATTTAGAACCTAATCCCGTAAAATATTGATCCTAAGCTTCCTTTGCAGCACGTTCCCTATGTTCTTCTCTAATTACTTCATTTTATTAATCTGTTGTTTATCCTCGGACATGGTTCATTTTATCACGAACCAGAGATGTACATCAAAAGTGGATTGAAGGAGGGAACTACGAACTGTGCATCGAGGACGTAAGAGATGAAATCTGGGATATGGTGAAGCCCGGTGACCCGTTAAGAATAACACTGGCGGATCTGCTGACATGCAAACAAGGCGGAACGGTAGCAAGCATGCTTATTGATGTGCGCGGCTTCTGGGCACACGACAACAGAGAGAATCTTCTCCAGGAGGAGGAGGAGGAGCCCGAAGAAGAAGGTTAAAGGGTGCTCGATAATACGAATGATTTGTGTTTGTGCTGAAGCTAACTTAACTTTGTTTTTAGTAGCATAGGAGGAGTAGATATCATCACTGCCTTTGTTTCCAGAACTCAGTTCATCAATGGAAGTGGTTGATTATCTTGCATTCTGTGCTTCTGTAGTTTGAGTGTTGTATGCAAGTATGTATGTAATAATGTAAACACAGGATAGTAGCCAGTAGGGAGATCCTTAAGGACTTGTAATAGATATATCAACTACTAACATTTTTATATGTTTGATCTAAATTCCAAGTTGCATCTACCTATTTTTTGAGTTGGTCCTTGATTATTTCATAATTTTCAAAATTAGTCAACTATCAATTTATCCAAAATGGTTCTTCAACTGGGTAAAATTGAAAAAAGTTTAAATTGGCCCTCTAAGTCAACAAATAGTGCAGTTGACCGGCAAATTATGCTGTCGAACCGTGTCTACCTTGCAAGGTGGATACGGTTCCAAAACTGTTTATAATTGTGAATATATAGTTCAACAATTATGAACATAGAGTTTTATAATTATGAACATAGAGTTATGAATATAGAGTTGTATAATATGAACATAGAGTTCTATAATTGTGAATATGAAGTTAAAAAATTATGAACATAGAGTTTAGTAATTATGAACATAGAGTTCAATAATTGTGAATATGAAGTTCAAAAATTCTGAACATAGAATTTTATAATTATGAACATAGAGTTCAGTAATTATGAACATAGAACAGTAATTATGAACATAGAAAGGTGGACACGGTTCCACGGCATAACAATTGCAATTGAACCCCCCCCTCCCCCCCTCCCCTCCAAAAAAAAAAAAAAAAACTAATTAAATATCCTAAACCAGTTAAATATCCTAAACTGTAGCCGATAATTGCTTACATGTCGCGCCATGTAAATGATATCCTCACTCTATCATAAGTAAAAAAACGAAACACAAAAACTTCTACGGACAAAATCCCCAACTTAAACTTAATTTGTCTTCACTCTCTTCATTCTCACATTTACTTCGAATCTCTCACAATTTCATTGCTATTTTTCACAATTTTTGCATGAAATTTCACAAGAGACAACAAAATAGAAAATTGTTGATAATCGACTTTGATATTACTCTGCTCAAAAGTTGGTCAAGGTTTCAGTGCAAAGAGGTAAGAATCTAGTTAAGAATCAATTTTGGTTCGATGATTGAGTTTATTCCATGTTGGTTTGCAAATTTTGATTTGCTAATAATTGTTTTTTTTTTCTTCACAAATTTGTCTAGCTAGGTAATATGTGTTATGTTACTATGGCCTATGAGTATTGAAAGTTTTAGATGGTATATAAGTGAAAGGACAATTTAGATCGTGCACCAGGACGTGCATTGTATTGTGCATCCTGATATAAAACGACGTCGTTTCAGTTTTGTTTTGTTTTGTTTTGTTTTTTTTTTTTGTTTTTTTTTTTGTTTTTGTTTTTGTTTTTGTTTTTTGAAATTTCACTACCCTGTATTGCCGGTTAATTTTCTTTAAAAAAAATCTCATGTTCAAAAATGTACATAATTTTATACTAGAATACACATAATTGTATACATGAACGTACATAATTGAATAACAAAATATACATACTTTTTTTTTAAAAGATAATACACATAATCTAACATAATAATACATAATACACATAAACTTTTAGCATAATACGCATAAACTCTTAACATAATACACATAAATTTCCTGTTTTGGATGTACATAATTGTATAAAAAAAAGTACATAATTGTATAAACAAATACACATAATTACGTAAACTCCCTACATAACTTACTAAACGACGTCGTTTTGGGAGGCGCGGGGCGTACAGTGCTATGTGTGAAGAACTTCGAAAATAGATGTATCTTTATTCTATTAATCACAAGATTTTGCTTTTATATATGTTTTAGTATATGTTGATGATATTCTTGTGATGGGAAGTGATCAGAATCTAGTAAATACTCTACTGACGAAATTGTCAACTGAATTCAAGATTGGGGATCTTGGTGAACCTGATTTTTTTCCTTGGAATTGAAACTATTTAAGTGTGGTGATGGAATTTTACTTTCTCAACAGAGATACATGACATATATTTTGAAACGTGCCGGTATGAAAGACTGTAAATCATTAACTACTCCTATATCTGTTTCGAAATCCACTTTCTTCAACGCTAATTTATATGATGATGCTTCACAGTATGGGAGTTTGGTTGGAGCTTTACAGTATCTTACTGTCAGACGTCCGAATCTATCCTTTGCAGTTAATTAATCGACTCTGTCAACATATGCATGCTCCTACAGTCTCTCATTGGGAGCAATTGAAACGTGTACTGAGGTATGTCAAGGGAACTATTACGTATGGTTTGCATATAAGGAAGTCAGTGTCTAGAGAGTTGCATGCTTTTTCTGATTTTGAATGGGCTGACTGTCCTGAGGATCGTAAGTCAACTAGTGGTTATGCTGTATTTCTTGGATCCAATCTTGTGTCTTGGGTATGTAAGAAACAAAGAACTGTTGCTAGATCTTCAACTGAGGCTGAATATAAAGCTTGCGGATGTTTGTGCTGAAGTAATTTGGATCCTATCCCTAATGTGCGAGATTGGTGTGACTAGTATGTCTGTTCCCAAGTTATGGTGTGATAATCTTGGTGCTCTACATGTGTGCAAATCCTATATTTCATGCTCGTACTAAGCATGTAGAGATTGATTATTATTTTGTTAGAGACAGAGTTGCAAATGGAGATATACAAATTAATTTTATCTTAACCAATGCTCAACTTGCTGACATTTTTACCAAGGCCCTACCTGGTCCTAAGTTTTCTTTTCTTAGAGACAAGCTACAAGTCACTTGTGTACCATATGCTTGATGTGAGTATTATGATGCTATGTATTTGAGTTAGATTATGATTCCCTATTATAGTCTCCTTAAGACTCTTTGTATATATATACCTGTAATTTGTACATTTATAATTACATTCGTTCAATACAATTCTTTCCGTTCTCATCATGTGTATTAAATGAATATATTTTATTTAACATTTATAGATATGAAAGTTTATGTATTTTTTTACTGCGGTATTTTATGCATGTATATAAACAACGCATAGCTATACTTATTGAATGTGTGAAATTTAATATATTGCATTTTATATCCAAAAATCATAAATAATCAGTTATTCTTTGTTCTTTTCCTTTGAAGACCAATTAAGAAAACAATAATCAATTTTTCTTTGTTCTCATAATCTGCACTATTTTTACAGCAAATCTCCTTTGAAGTTCAACTGCAAACAATAATCAATATATGTGCTCTCATAGAAAGTGTTGGTTCTTCTTTTGATAAGCATAAATTCATGATAGAGATAAAAAGAACAACATTCATACATTTTCCTCAAAATTTGATTATGTCAAGACCATTACTGAAGCAAAGGTGGAGCATGCTGTGAAGTATTTCAGCCTGACTCCTGTACCAAATCTTTAGAAGTAGCAAAGAAAGGAAAGACTGTTGAAACAATAAAACTTACTTGAGTTCTCTCCAGCCCCAAGAAATATCCATCTTCCCAAACTCTATAAGATATCTAAGATGATATGAAAAAGGAATGGATAATCTCTTCTCTTTTCTACAGAGAAGGTAAAAAAACAAAAATTATCACACTTTCTATTATAATACTTGTGATTGTTCACATTCTGTGGAGAGGGCTAGGACTAACCTAATAGGCATGGAGGTATTGAGAGGGCATTTTTACAGCAGATTTTCCAAGAGTTATTTTTAAAGCCTTTTGTTTGTGGAGTACAATGTTTGATTAGACCACTATTTATAGTAATTCCATTGGAGATTGAAGAGGCAATCAGGTGTAATTAAATGGTGAGACTGTGGGTATTCCCCACTAAATGTACCTGAAAGGTTTTTTTTTTTTTTTTGAAGTTGAAGTTGATCTAAAATAATGTACTAAGATAATGTTATTAATGTTTTTATGATAAATAAATGTTGTGGTTGTGCGGATTCCTAAATCAGTAATAATAATCTATTTTGGCGGAAACTTTTGACTCTACTTTATTATAGTAGAAGAAGATATGTCCCCAAAAAACATTTTTGCCAGTGTAAATAATGATTGTCAAATACAGTGCACATCATGATGTAATGAATAGAATTAAAAAAAAAAACAAAAATTGTATCTATGTATTAATTAAACAAATCAACACTTCAATAACACAATAAAAAAAAAAAACGGAGAGAGAGAAAAACAGTATGTAAATAAAACTGAACCGAAATATATAACCTAAGAACCAAATTTGCAGTGATGATGAGAAATAACATACACTTGAATACTCTTATGGGGTGTGAGCAGTGGCCAAATTAAAGCAAAAAAATTGTTCATGGGTAATAAATTAATAGTTTCTAACAAACAGTAACATTCAACAAACTCTCATAATCTCTCGTTATTTGTAGAGCATCATTGAATTCAACAGTCTTTTTCATCTTCTTCAATGCCATTCTTGCAGCTTCTCTCTGGATTTTGAGCTCGGCCTCTGCCCTCATCCGTAAAAGTGTTTGGGCAGCTTTGATTTCTTCATCAATTATGACTTTCTCTGCAATCTCCCGTCTCTCTCGTTCTTGTTGTTGTTTCAGTGGGTCGGCATTATAATTATCTCCATGATTTAGAAGATTATGATTTGCTTTGAAAATGAGATGTGCGTAACGTTTCTTCATCTGGGTAGCACGTAGAGCCTTAGTTGGAGAAAGTAAAGTAGTAGTAGTAATGCAACCTTTATCAATGGTGGCAGTCGGTGATGAAGAAGAAAGATGAGACCTATAATTACTTTCCTTTTCATTATGCAAATCCAATATTAATGGCGGCGTAGAGTTGTGATAATCACTTCTTCCTGGATTTCGTTGTTTCGAACTAAATTTCTTTTGGCAATCGCACCCAATCGTCGGGAGAACCATCCTCCAGTCTTCCCTTATACTCCGTAACCTCTTAATTTCTTTTCCGAAATGATCAGATCCACGCTTCTTGAATTTAAGCTTCCTCTTCAAACCCTCGTTTCTTTTCCCATTTCCTTGCATGGAGATTCTGATCTTCTGATTTTCTATCGTCATTCTGGACGGGAAATCAACCTAAAACCCCCAAACAAATCCAAAGAAAAACTCAGGCTACTGAAGTACTCAGGATATTCGGGGAGGATATGATATGATTGAAATGATCAGATAGAAAGTGAGAGACGATAAAAGATCGCCGCTAGCGAAAGCTCGTGAAAGAAGAGAGTACGTGACAAGAAAGAGCGGGAAGAGAGTAACTGAGAGCACCGCCTCCTCACAACTCAAATATAATAATTAGGAAATAACAGGCCAGATAATGTTCATTAAATTTAGATAGGGTTTAATGTTACTTCTTAATTCTTGATTACGTAATCTTTCATTTACCGGATTTAATTTAAAATATTACTTCAATTCTTTCCCAATTTAATTTAAGTAAATTATTAAAGGGAAAATGACACTTTTTCTCTATGTGTTATATATTTATAGCACATTTTTCCTCTGAATTATTTAAGTGACAGTTTTCCCTCCCCTGATATGTTAAATGGATATATTGACCCTTAACTACCAGTTCACGTTCTGAATTGAAAAAACATAAAATACATTAATTGTTGAATTTAAAATATTTTTAAAATAAAAAAATAAAATTTTAAAATAAAAGTTTGAACCATCAGCTCAAATTGGATCCGAAACCGTGAACCGACGATTAAAAATCAAAACCAAATCGTGGTTATATATACTTATATGTGAGGGTATTTAAGGAAAGAAAATAATATAATAGAGGGTGAAGTAGGAAAAAAAAACTAAAATCAAAATAATCTAAACTATTTATTTCATCCAATAATTTGGACAAACATTTTTTAATTCCCGGTATAAGTCTAACTTTATTTACTGTTATTAGTATAAATATAGTATAGATAGATATAACAAACACATAGCTATATTTATTGAATGTGTGAAAATAATATTTTGCATTTTATATCCCAAAAATTATAGAAATTTTAGGTATCAGAAAAAGATTTCATCATATGCCCCAAAATACATTTTTGCCAGTGCAAATGATTATATTTGCACATCATCGTGTAATGACATAGAACAATCATTATTACATGGACTATGGTCCACACAACTGTGTGGATCATAAATAAAAAGTACATTTTTAATATACTAAAAATATATTATTTGTGTATATAAAGTACATTATTTGAGTAGTAAAGTACATTATTTTATATATACTATCAAATAATGTACCTTCAATACATAAATAACTTATTTTTAATATATTAAAAATGTATATGATATTAATGGTCCACACAGCTATATGGACCATGGTTCATACAATAAAATGCCGACATAGAATTAAAAATTAAAAAAAAAAAAGGGATGTAGAAAAGCAAATCAATATTTCAATAATACAATCACGAATACAAGAAAAATTTTTAAAAAATTGGGATTTCTTGATATATATATATAGGACAGAAAAACAAAGAATGATTATTTGTTTATATATATATATATATATATATATATATATATATATATATATATATAGTGAAAGGTTCCCGTGCGGTTGACTGCTTCCTGTGCAGTGAATTAATGTGCGTGAGATTTGTACTTAATGTGCATGAGTGTTGTGCTTAATGTGCTTGAGATTTTTACTTAATGTGCGTGAATGTGTAAAATGCAGCAAAAAATATTTATGTCAGCTTCTTCCCTATTCCCAGTAGCCATTGCCCCATCCCTGATGATGATGATGCAGAGGCGGGCTATGGTCGTTAAGAATTATGGGAATAATACAACAGAAACCCACACTTAGTTGCTGTGCAAATTTTACTGTGCGTGCGTCATCTATATAAACATTCAACTGCACTGAAGGTAGCTGATAATCTAGAATCCATGGCCAAATTGAAGGAAGAAGTAACAAGAAGCTTGGGCATTAATGTGCTTGAGTTTCTGTTCTGCTTCCTTCTGAGCTCGTAATTCTGAAATACTCACGCACATTAAGCACAAATCTCACGCACATTAAACACAATACTCAGGCACATTAAGTACAAAACTCACGCATATTAACATTACACACATTAAGTATAAATCTCAGACACATTAAGCTTGAGATTATAAGAGATTGTGGTAGTAATTAAGGATATTTTCTAATCAAAAGGATTGAATAGTAATTGTAGTTGTATGTTTATTTATTGATATAATAGAATTGGAATCTTAAGCATTATTTTTGGAAATTATAAATGGAAATTAATACTTTAAATTATTTACAAACTCTGATGAACTGAACATGGCGTGAACAAGGGTTGGGGTGAAAACGAACGGGTGCATATAGGTCTGATTGTGCATAGCGTGTGCATTTTAGTGTTCTCGTGTGTGCATAGCGTGTATGACGAACTAGAAGTTATGTGATGTGCATAGTGTGTGCGTGTTCAGGTGGGTGCATATAGGTCTGATTGTGAAACCTATAGGCTGGGGGGAGGATGCATTGACGACCATGAGTATGTGCATATCGTCCGCGAATGGTGAAATTATTGTTTGTACGTTAATTTTTAAAAAAATATTCGGGAGTTCGGTTGGTCTGCATAATTGAATTGAGAAGTGTGTGCGTAAGATAGTGACTGTTGACAGTGTGGAACGGCATTAATGGTGATTACAACTTAGTATGATGATTGTTACGGTGGAGGGTGCGTAGGCGAACAGAAGCATGTGCATAGCGACTGCATGTAACTTAGGATATTGGGGTTGTTTTTTTGGTAGTTTGTTTTGTTGGAAGGCCTAAATATATTGGGATGTGTGTGTGCGTGAGATTCGGAATTTATGAAGTGTGAAAAGGCATGATTTTGTTGATCACTACATATTATGTGAGTTTTGATGGAGGGTGCATATAAGAAGATGAGTACGTGCATAACGTGTGGCTATGTTGAGAATTTTGTGGGTGTTTTTTTTTTTTTTTAAACAAAATTTGGTTGTTAAAAACTTAAAGCGTTGTAATTATGTTGGGTGCGTAGTTGTATGCAGGTGAATGCATTACACGGTAAACAAGATATGTTATTAAATATTAAAATGATGCATATGCAGCCCCGCGCACTGCTATGTGCGTAGCAGGGCACCAGTCGGTGCATACCGATGTGGCTTAAAAAAGACATGTGTCGCGCGCGTGTGCATTAGTGAATAGGAGTTAGTACATGGTATCTGTTGTATGTGGGTTTTAATTTTTAAATTCAAGCTAGATTTCTTAAGAAACCCATGTTTGCACGACCGTGGCATTTGTGTTGCTTTAGAATTATGCTGTTTGCGTAATTGTATATAGGTAAATGCATTACAGTGAAAACAAGAGCCATTATTAAATAATAGTATGATACGTATGCATCTCTGTGCACCGCTATGTGCGCAGTAGGACATCAGCCTGTGCATATCGCGGTGGCTTATGCATGCATGTATCGGTGTGAGCATAAGAGGATCAAAGTCAGTGCATAATGCTGTTGCAGTGTGGGCGTTATTCTCCTGATTTGGATTTTTTTCCCCCAAGTAGCCATGTTTGCACGAACTTTTAAAAAACGAAGAGGGAAAAAAAAAAGCAACCACACACTGTAAGTGAAATATGGTATACATCTGTAACACGCAATGTTGACGTGAAAAAACGTAAGCCTAACAAACATCGAGGAAGAAAAAACAATGCCACAAAAAACAGTAATTAATGTGAGGGGACAATGTTAAACATTAATTCAACGAGCCGTAGCGCTGGATCGCATAACACAGTCGACATTCGAGAGGCGATGAGTGTTGCTTTTAAACATCAACATATCATACACGAAGCGAACACGTAAAGCCAGCAACGCACGCGCATCACCCCTCCGAAGGCCACAATCCCATGAAGCGTAGGACTAGCCAACACAACACTCCATGTGACGCATCGCAAACACGCCG